GGAACCAGGGATTGAACTCAGACCCTTGTGCTTGCCAGGGAAGCACTTATTCCACTGAACCATCTCCCCAGCCCCTTTATTTAGCTTTTGATTCTCCTCCTTTAATCTCCCAGAGTGCTGAGATTGCAGGAGCATGTAGTTAACAGCTACACAGCCACTGTGCAAAACAGAATTCCACTTGTAACTATGGTCACTGAGACAAATCTACTTCAATAAAGAATAGGCAGTGCAGGGCCGGCCAGATAGTTCAGCAGACTGAAGCACCTGCTTAGGCAGAGCACAGCAGCCGGGTTTCGATCCCCGGAGTGCCACACAGGTACTGAAGCCATTGAGACTGGGAATGGCACATGCCTGTAATCCCAGCACTTGGGGGCGCTGAAAACAGGAGAATCACTAGTCTGATCTACATAGTGAGACCCTCTATCCCCCCACCAAAAAAAGGCAGTGCCAAGGAAGAATGAAAATCTCAATTATGTAACAGGGGATACAAAAAGCCATTTGTGCCAGTTATTTAATTAATCTTAAAGAGATGGCCTAGGGGTTAGCTCCAGACTGAAGGATTAAAGTTAAGCACAGAAAGATCTTTGTTGCTCACAGCAGTGCCATGACCTTGTTCTGAAGACTGGCAGGACGTCTGGAGGGGCACACTGAGGTGAGCAGAGCCCCCGGGAGTCTGGCCCACGCGCAAGGACATTTCCAAACCACTTATCTACATGGTCCAGATGTTCACAGCCCTCGGGCATCTGCCAGCTCCTGAAGGCTCCAAACTCTACCTTGGTCACGCACAGTGGGGACCCTGTCGCTTCTGTCTCCACTGCTATTTAGGGGGTCTCACTCTAGGGGGACTTGGAGTCTTATCTGTGGAGATGATGCTCTGCCTGGAACCACCGAGACCCTGAAAAGTATGCCCAAGACTCCCCAGCGCTGGACTTCAAGAGTTTGTGCTTCCTACACTTTGATGAAGGAATCTTTTTGTTCTTTTGCTTTTTTATCGGTGTGTATGTGTGTTAACAGGTTATTAAACTTTTGTTGTCTTTACCTTAGTGTTAGAAGCTTTTGTTGCTTGCGAATCCAGACCTCTAAGTTAAGCAGCTGCAACTGTAGTCTCAAAGTTACAGAGACACATATGGATCCTTGAGACACATAGTCACAAGCCAGGATGATTCATTCTTCTCAACACTCACCCTT